CTTCCGTAAAGGAATTCTAGAAGTCCGTCCATGATTTGTATATGTTTTATAAAAAACTAAAAACTATACAGTTTTCTCGAACAGCTTGCTGTTATTCGCGCAGGGGGGAAGGGGGGGGGGGTGTAAATAATAAAGCACACGTGCATTGTGGTCGTCGGCAAGAGCTACGGGCTAGGCGGTTGCTGCTGCTGCTGCTGCCCGGCACAGACGATGGGGGCAATGTTGACTGTTTACATTGACCGCCGTGTCCCCCCGCACACCGCCAGCTTCGCCACCTCCACGCAACGCAACAATTGGCACACGCACCACTCAAAGCGCCACCTGCCGTCCTCAGCGGTGAACTGCAGAATTCAAATGGTTACGGTGACGGCCTTCTTACTCATGATGATGATCACCAATGGCCCCCCCGCCCCCCGGGGCCGTTTTATGGAGATTCTTATTCTTGAGCGTGATGGCGTGCAGCAATGTGTTCGGGAGCTGAAAGCCAATGTCGAGGTCTGCCGGGCAGCAGAGGGCATCAAAGAGAGAGTTCGTGTAGGTGTGTTATTCGTCCTACTCCTTTGCAGGAGTGCAGACTACAGTGGTTCACTATATCGTCCATAGTTTGGATTGCATAGCCACAATTGCACCGCGGCTTGACTTTACTACATCTCTGTGAGTCTCTGTGCATCTTTATGTGTCTCTAGGTCCAATCTTTGGTCCATTGGTTGGGTCGCATGCCAACAATCGCACTGCTGTGGCTTTTCTTAAATTTCCCACTCATGAAGGCGATGTGCGCATCAAGTTGTTGAGTATCACAAAATTGGTGCCAATTGTTTTACGCATATAAACCCGACGGAGTTCACAGACTTCTGTTTTGAGAGGGCGCCTTCTACATAAGGAGGGGTTTGTCCATGAATGCCATCAACGATGGGAGTTTGACTTCGCGTGGCTGGGAACCCGGAGAAAACCCCACCACGCATACGAAGGAGGAACAACACTCAGCACTGGCATCTCCTGCCCACACCTCGCTAGCCCCTGCGCCTATACCACCTGGCAAGCCTTGTGGGTGTTTTACCCATCCAAGCGTTCGCCAGGGGCTCATCTCCGCTTAGCTCCCAAGATCCGACAAGATGCGAGTGCGTTTACGGTTATTAAATTGTGGGTACAGCACATACCAAAATTATGAAAAATAGCATCGCAATTACGTACACGTTATTATCACGTCAACATGTTGGGTTTCGGCTTGTGCAGGTACAGAATGGACAATTAACATGGCAATGTACGGAGACTTGCAATTGCCGGGGGAATATATTATTTTTCCCTCCTTCTCAAGTCTCATGTAGGATGTGTTATTTATAGCGAGCCGCTAAATTTGGCCGCGATCGTATAGGACTCACGCATGCCACGGGGCGCTATATAACGAGACGTTTGGATTGCGTGCAAGCCTGCTCCCACTTCCTCTCAGGGACGGAGGCCCGACTCCTTGACGCACGTTCTTGAGTCGTTTTTTGCCAAATAAAATATACCCGCGGCAAAACACGGCAGTCAATCAATGCGCTCTTATACAAGACTGCGCGTGGGTGTGTGGTGGGGGGGGGGTGCGAAGTCTAGTATCCTGCAGTTTACATTTTCTTCGATAATCAACGCAGAGAGTAGAATTGCCGATGCTTCATTCGAAGGGATTGCGGAGCGTAAAATGAAACGCAGAAGGCGCGGTTCTAAGGCGCGCGTTGCCCGCGAGTCTTTTTCTCTGTCGCACGGCGCGCGAGGTTCACGAGCGGGGCATTGACGGACGCCGTGAAACACCCATGGGACACCAACATTTCAAGTCGATGACACCGGTAACGTTCCCCCCAAAAAATAATACGAATAACAAAGCGAACACATTGCGGTGATACGCCGTGGGGCGCCAGCAGGGAAATATTGGCCGAGGAGGTTAACCGGACTTGTTGCATTGCTTTTTTACCCCTTCTTTCTTTATTTTACAAACGTGAGAAAATCGCAAGACGTGATACGTTCGTGTATCTGGGAACGCTCGTGACTAAATCCCGCAGCCGTAAAAAAAAAAAAAGCGCCGTAAATACGTTGGCGGATATATGTATATCTTTTTGTTGGGGTTTGCCCGAGCTTAATAGCGACAAGGAGAGACCTCTGTCGATCGAAAGTTGCTCAGGAGCTTTTATAGCCAAGTCGGGGGAGCATTAACGATGGCATGCGCGATTCGATAAGAGCGCTCGCTGATAAGAGAAGAGCGCACCGGGAGCGACTGAAGATTTTGGCAAGAGCTGCCACGTCGATGAAATACGACCGGTTGCTCGATCTCTCGCTCACAGCCGCATCTCTCCCCTCGCTTCAGTGCACGTAGGGAGACTGTCTCTCTCTCTCTGTCTGTGTGTCTCTCTCTCTCTCTCACAGCGCCAATTGCAAGTCACTATCACGGTGAGAACCAGCCCCACCCCCACCCAACACGTACACACGTACCCGTTCAGACTCACCTGTCGCCTCCCTAGTTCCTTTATCAAAACTCATCGCAGCATAATATACAACAAATGCATTCAAAGCAACCCGCAGTACGCTACCAGCTTTTTTTTTTCTTCTTTTAAAGTTGTGTCTTTTAGCGATACATTTATTTCAATTACAATGTCGCAGGTGGAATGCATCAAACAAAATTTTATAATTTCAGTAAGTAGAATTGAAATAGCATATTGCTCGTGTAAAAGAATATCAACCATTGATATAACCTCACACTACATTGCAATTAATCGTGATGACCCATACCTTGCCACATATCATGGCATGTGGCTTGAAGTAAACCCGAATAAAGTTAAGGGTCGTGCCTCAAACATTACTCGCATCGCACTCACCAAGCCGCACTTGCCGGCATGGTGAAGTACGTCCAGCATGGTGAAGTATGGGCAGCATGGTGAAGTATGGGCAGCATGGTGAAGTATGGGCAGCATGGTGAAGTATGGGTAGCATGGTGAAGTATGGGCAGCATGGTGAAGTATGGGCAGCATGGTGAAGTATGGGCAGCATGGTGAAGTACGTCCAGCATGGTGAAGTATGGGTAGCATGGTGAAGTATGGGTAGCATGGTGAAGCATGGGCAGCATAGTGAAGTATGGGCAGCATGGTGAAGTATGGGTAGCATGGTGAAGTATAAGTAGCATGGTGAAGTATGGGTAGCATGGTGAAGTATGGGTAGCATGGTGAAGTATAAGTAGCATGGTGAAGTATGGGCAGCATGGTGAAGTATGGGTAGCATGGTGAAGTATAAGTAGCATGGTGAAGTATGGGTAGCATGGTGAAGTATGGGTAGCATGGTGACGCATGGGCAGCATGGTGAAGTATGGGCAGCATGGTGAAGTATGGGTAGCATGGTAAAGTACGTCCAGCATGGTGAAGTACGTCCAGCATGGTGAAGTACGTCCAGCATGGTGAAGTACGTCCAGCATGGTGAAGTTCGGGCAGCATGGTGAAGTATGGGCAGCATGGTGAAGTATGGGCAGCATGGTGAAGTATGGGCAGCATGGTGAAGTATGGGCAGCATGGTGAAGTATGGACAGCATGGTGAAGTATGGGTAGCATGGTGAAGTATGGGCAGCATGGTGAAGTATGGGCAGCATGGTGAAGTATGGGCAGCATGGTGAAGCATGGGCAGCATGGTGAAGTATGGGCAACATGGTGAAGTTCGGGCAGCATGGTGAAGTATTGGCAGCATGGTGAAGTACGTCCAGCATGGTGAAGTATGGGCAGCATGGTGAAGTATGGGGAGCATGGTGAAGTACGTCCAGCATGGTGGAGTACGTCCAGCATGGTGAAGTATGGGCAGCATGGTGAAGTATGGGCAGCATGGTGAAGTATGGGCAGCATGGTGAAGAATGGGTAGCATGGTGAAGTATGGGCAGCATGGTGAAGTACGTCCAGCATGGTGAAGTATGGGCAGCATGGTCGAGTACGTCCAGCATGGTGAAGTATGGGCAGCATGGTGAAGTATGGGCAGCATGGTAAAGTATGGGTAGCATGGTGGAGTACGTCCAGCATGGTGAAGTATGGGCAGCATGGTGAAGTATGGGCAGCATGGTGAAGTATGGGTAGCATGGTGAAGTATGGGCAGCATGGTGAAGTATGGGCAACATGGTGAAGTATGGGCAGCATGGTGAAGTATGGGGAGCATGGTGAAGTATGGGCAGCATGGTGGAGTACGTCCAGCATGGTGAAGTATGGGCAGCATGGTGAAGTATTGGCAGCATGGTGAAGTACGGGCAGCATGGTGAAGTATGGGCAGCATGGTGAAGTATGGGCAGCATGGTGAAGTATTGGCAGCATGGTGAAGTATGGGTAGCATGGTGAAGTATGGGCAACATGGTAAAGCATGGGCAGCATGGTGAAGTATGGGCAGCATGGTGAAGTATGGGCAGCATGGTGAAGTATGGGTAGCATGGTGAAGTATGGGCAGCATGGTGAAGTATGGGCAACACAACCCTTCACTGCCTGCGCGGCGTGTGGGAGCCCTCATCCAGCAGTGGAGTGTGCATGTGCACGCACTTCTCCGTAAACAACACTGCTAATCGCCCTCTGCAAGCAGCGTTCACGACGGACGAACCCTCCGCCTTAACTCCTCGAGGAAGCAAACAGCAGCGCGCTCGGTTGCATTGCGGCGATGTTATGAGCCCGAGTTGCAATAAAGCGATCCCAGGGTGGCATTATCGTGCTGTGCCGCACGTCATAACACGGCGTGATTAAATAGCACGCGTGGATCCTGTAAGGCATTTCACCGGGGCCACGGATAACAACCCTAAGAACGCATAATGCGTTCCTTGTTTCAGTCGTTTGCGAATATTTTACCTTGGTTCAGCCAACCGCAGTCCTGACAATTGCCAATGAAAACCGATTTTTTTTTAGAAGATATAATAACAATAACACCTCAAAACACCAATATGATTATTTCTCTGGAGAGAAGCGTGGACGGTGGAGAGAGAGAGAGACAGAAAAAAAAACAATCGTAGCAGCACCAACCTTCTCCTCTGTCGACGAAGCTGGTGATAGTGTTCGCACTGATGTCCTTGCCTGCGGAGGCGACCGACAGTGTTTTGTACAGGGACAGCATGTACTCGTGCGGTACCACCGACACATTGTGACCACTCCAGCGGAACTCGTGGTCATGATGAGCCCCAGTTCCTGCCGTTGCTCCGGCGCGGTGTTGTTGCTGCTGCTGCTGGCTGTGATGGTGTTGATGATGGTGATGATGATGATGAGCCGTTCCCACGGACACCTTGCGAGCACCCGGCGCCGACCTGGACGCCGACTCGGCGCCTTTCGCCTGCGAGGTCAAGCGGTGGCGAGAGCTGAGCGCCGCCGCTTCCACGCGAACCAGGTCCGGCTCCAAGAGGCAGGCGACGTAGCAGAGGAGCACCGCAGCGGCCTTGAGTACATCCATAGCGAAACTGCGGACTCCTTCGGCGGCGCAGCCTTCAAGAATCCAAGCGCATCGTTGAGTTCGAACGACGCTGTTTGATCGCGTTTGCCGCGGCTATCGGCAACAAGGATTGGTCGGGGGTTTGAGTTTCACCAGCCAGGTAGAGCTATAATTACTGAAATGCTCGTCCATGCGCAATGGACTACCACTTCGCATATATCAAAACCACCACCCCCCTCCTCCTCCTCCTCTGCCTTTGTTTTGATTTATGGAACGCTTCCTCGCGGTAGATTTACCACTGCAGCACACCGTTCACGCGTCTCTACGAATCGAGTTGACACGGCAATCCGCATCTGAGCTCGCGGTTACGAGACCCCGCTGTACAAATGCTATCGATGATATATATAGAGAGCGAGAGTGAGAGATGATGATGATGGTGGTGATGATGATGGTGGTGGTGATGGAGGCCGCCGGGAAGTTCCGGATTTGAATGCTGCAGGTTGGGAGTGACTAACCACTGCTCCGAACGCCCCTGGCACCCAACACTAACTCCTCTCCTGCGCTGCTGCTGCTGCTACATGTGCCGCTACGGAGCGCAATATAAGGCGTCGTCTTTTACCAAAACGGCTTGCGTCACCGCCGCCGAACGCACGCTGTTCGCGCAATGGGCTTCTTGCGTGGACCATATACCTACTGCGATCAGCGCGCGACGGATATGCGACCGATTTTTTAGAGTGCGGATTAAAAATGTAAAACAAATAGACTTACCGGGAATTAGAAACAAACACCACCGCGAACCCCCCCCCCCCCTCCCAAAAAAAAGCCAGGGAAGTTTGAGAGCCGTACGCGCGTGTGTTGTGTGTGTGTGCGTGTTTTTTGTAAGTGTCTCTCGTAATAGTTGTACACTTTTGTCGTGGCACCTACGGTCATCAACGTGAATTGGGACGAATCCCGCGTCGACAATGGGCCCAGATAACGGATGCGGTTTTTTTTTTACAGCTGAAATGTGTTGATGGCTCTTCGCGATATTGTCACAATCAAACGTCGTTCGCGCTCCTGTGATGATGATGAATGGGATGAGCCGCGAAGCACTTTATCTGCACGCTATGTACACATCCCGGAAGGATGTTTATAACTGGAATAACTTCCAAGCTTTGTGAAAGACAGGGGCGGGGGGGGGAATGTACATTAGATGTATGGACAGATATTACAGCAATGGCAAGGTGATGGGCCTACAAACGACGACCTTTTGGACCATCGCACATTGTAAGACATCGACAGGAAATACACGAGTGGGATTATGGTGATATCCATAAGACGTTCATTTAAATGATTGCCTTGCAAAATGTAACATAAGGTTTCTAGTATTTGATGATTACCACTCCGTTAGGACAAAGCGTCTAACATGTCTGTCATCTCGGCTACGTTATGTAAATATTAAGTGGCATGAATGCGGTTAAAGATTCAGTTATACACGATAACGCAAAGAATGAATGGGTAGTTTTATATAAACCTGTATAAGGTTACTGCAGTAAGGCTACCTACACAGTAGACTCATTGTAATATTCCTACTTCCTAGGAGCTGTAATTGGTCTATATACATTATACAGTTTATGCAAACATTGTGACCTCATAGGAAAATGCGAGCCCAAAACAAGAGGCTATTTAGAGTCTGCTTCGGGAACCTTTATTGCAAAGCTTGTTCTAATTTCTCAAAGTAATGCTTGGGCGTCAACATGACGTGTTTCCTTGCGCCAAGGCTCTCGGAAGCCCAAGGAATTCCCTGGGATTTGATTCCAAGAACCGCGCTCCACGGAGCCTCGTGTGAGCAACAGCAAATAAGCCAACACCACCTCCTGAAGTCTTAATTTTGCAGACTTGGAACCAGTGGTGATGATGATGATGACAATGATGATGATAACGATCATGATAATGATGATGAAGATGGCGGTGGTTGAGTTTATGGTATGACCAATTGTGAACACAGCAACCAAATAGGTTTGCTAACGCTGGGTCGAGGATAATATAATTACATTAGAGACATTAGTGCCAGTGTTGTGCCCACTTTACGGTTAGCAACAGACAATGGGTCCAATTATTTTACACACTAGGCTCTATACCTTTAACTGGCACTTGACAGTGATGTGAATTCATCTGAGGTTTTTTTTATTTTTCCGATGGGGGGGGGAGGGGTTGGATTTTATCACGGATCATTGGGGTTTCTTTCCTTACGGTCGATAATCCATCCGCTTACGCGATTATTACTCGGCCACGTACATTCCTCAGCTCGTGTGTTCTGCTGTTAACGAAAACCACTGCCAACACAAACACAAACAAGCAAATGCCAGGACCTCTTTGCACGTTGTATAGTTTATTTGACCAGCGCTGACATTTACTTTGGTAGGAAAAGGGGAACGGATGGTATATATTTTTTTGTAACCTCGTTCGTTTAAAATGTATCTCCGCTTCTGCGAGACAGGATTCCGATGAGAAAAAAGACAGATGGCGATTGAGAAAGCGAAAAGCGAACTCGAGCGGGTCGAGCTGTACGCAAAGTGAAACAAAAGTCAATCACGTCCTGTGATTAATGACCCTACCATCAATTAACGTGGACCTATTTGTGCGTGAACAATGCATTCCTTTACGTAACCATGAAAAAGAGAGGATACCTAGTGCATTTATAGGTTCAAGAAATAATTGGCTACAGCCATGGCGGCGGTGACCCGATCGTTCATGCTATGCGGTAGGCGGTGGTTCCACTTGATATAAAACGCAGCGTTGTGTGCGAGTTGGCCAGAGGTTAACCTGAAGTAAAAAAAAATGACCGCTGCATGAATGCATGAGAAATGCTACCGTATTGTACAGATTTTATGTTATATAATACGCAGCATTTTTCTAACCCCCCCTCCCACTCATCATTCGCGTTTGCTGTAACGAGCATAGGTGAACGGCTGACATCTACTGGATTAATAAGGCACATGCAATTACAAGCCCTGTAGTTGGAAGGGAATCGTGTTTCCAGGTCAACGTTTCTGGGTTCTTATATTCTGCACGGAGGCACGCGTCTGCCTCCAAAAGCGTATACTTATCACCTACGAATGTGTGTATGTTGAACTTATTTCGCACCTTAATCAGCCGAAGGACAGAGCTAATTACCACGTTCGTTTATCGTTTGAGTCTATTATATATATGCAGCGGTATAGGAACTCGAGCGACTTTGCTGGATGGATGTATAAGCCGGGATTGCTGATGTAGAAGTTGCTGTATGTGTATGCAATTGAACAACATACACGATGAACTCGGTGGTGACCTGAGATCAATTCCCGGATACGGTTTAACATGGGTGGCTAGCGATATCTGAACCAGCCCTGATTCGGAGCAGCCCCCCCCCCTGCCCCATCTCCCCCCACTATTTCACAAATCTGCACTGACCAATGTGGCACAGCCTGGTGAAATATGGTCAAACAAATCGTCGCGGTCATCGTCCCACGCTGATCGTCTTCACCCAGCAATGGATCGTTGCAATTTTCACCATACTTCACCAATTTTCACCATACTTCACCAATTTTCACCACACTTCACCAATTTGCACCACACTTCACCAGTTTTCACCACACTTCACCAATTTTCATCAGACTTCACCAATTTTCACCACACTTCACCAAGTTTCACCACACTTCACCAATTTTCACCACACTTCACTAAGTTTCACCACACTTCACCAAGTTTCACCACACTTCACCAATTTTCACCACACTTCACCAAGTTTCACCACACTTCACCAATTTTCACCACACTTCACCAATTTTCACCATACTTCACCAATTTTCACCATACGTCACCATACTTCACCAATTTTCACCATACTTCACCAGTTTTCACCAGACTTCACCAATTTTCACCACACTTTACCAATTTTCACCACACTTCACCAAGTTTCACTACACTTCACCAATTTTCACCACACTTCACCAATTTTCACCATACTTCACCAGTTTTCACCAGACTTCACCAATTTTCACCATACTTCACCAAGTTTCACCACACTTCACCAGTTTTCACTACACTTCACCAATTTTCACCACACTTCACCAATTTTCACCACACTTCACCAATTTGCACCATACTTCACCAATTTTCACCACACTTCACCAATTTTCACCATACTTCACCAGTATTCACCATACATCACCAATTTTCACCACACTTCACCAAGTTTCACCAGACTTCACCAAGTTTCACCACACTTCACCAATTTGCACCACACTTCACCAATTTCCACGATACTTCACCACTCTGATCAGTGCGGGTTCACGAAGCAGCGGATCCGAGCACTGACTTCGACATCACTCAACGGCTGGGGAACGCAGACGTGTAAGCATATAAGTACAGTACAACGATATGTTTGCAGCATCCTCCCGCGTTTGTTGGCCACGCAATGACAACGTGGCCCCCGCAGCCTATGCCGCCTGTTATGCGTGGTGATCGCCCATCCTACGCGCTATAGAGATTCGAAAGGCCACTTAGCCACGCTGTGACTACATCACCAGGAATGCGTCTCACTCGTCAGACGTCGGATCACGTGCGTTAGTCAGAGCAACAACAAAAACACACACACACACACGCGTAATCTTTAAACGCAATATCGTTAATGAGACGGGGCATTGCCTTTGACTTGACGAAAAAAAAAACTTTAGTTCCTAAAGCCATAGAGGACAGGTTACTTATTATTTATTCAGCACCGGGCCACGACTTACTCGGCGAGAGGCGAGACGAAATATGCTCCATACAACCCGCACTGACCAGCGTGGTGAAGTATGGTCAAACACCCTCTCCACCCTAAGGCCACCCGCGTGACAGACGCATCTAATCTAATTGTATATCGATAGAGCGCGCCTTCACTCAGAGCGCTTGACAAAGTTTCAATGTCCTCCCTTCACCAACCCGCACCGACCAGCGTGGTGAAGTATGGTCAAAAACAAACCCTTCCCACAAAAAAAACCCCACCCATTCCGTAACACACGCACCTCCAATCGCGGCAGTTAATGTTCCATCTCTAACAGAGCCCCATAACAATCGCACTCGGCACCGCGCAAGGGAAAGTTTGGCCGAAGACAGAAACGATGCGAGACAGAATTCGCTTTTACGATCCGGTTTTATTATCCCGCCCCACGCCGCAGCTGCAGTTGCCAGCTGCCTTTGCCCGTTGGACAGGCGCGGGCGTGCGTGGCGTGGAGGCAAACAACCGAACCGCCGATAGAGGATCAATATTACACGCGGATACCACCAAATGCAAACAACCGCCCAGGCCACACGGACGGGGCAAACATCGTGTGTGCGTGCGCGCGCGCGTGCGCTGTGGGTGCGCGCGGCCAATGGGCCCCCGCTCGTCTCAACCAGATGAGAAACGCCGCGTTCACTTGACGCGCGTGTCTACAGCTCCGAGAATCTCGGCACTTTTGGTCGTGGGACCCACCCGGAGCCTCATGCGTGGCGAGCGCCGTGTCGGGCTGAACGGTTTTGGGGGGGAAAATATTTTCATTTGCTATTTTTCCGACAGATATTGGCGATTGCGATTAAGTTGTTTAAAGGCAAGCTTCAGTTCAATATTGACACTGTGTAATAGATTTAAAACATGTGATGGGGCATTACCACGTGATACCATCAAAATATGAACTGCTCTATGCATTCTAAGAAAGTAATAGGACTTTTCAAATCGCAAAAAAAAATCGCAGCCTTTGCGATTTGCTAATCGCATTGTTTCAAATTTCGATTT